CGAAAGCCTTTTAGTTAGTTAAATCGTCATTTTAATTAGGTTTATTAAGAGACATGGCCATTAAGTTTGGGGAAATTGGGAATAGTCTCATATCGAAGGAATTTCCCATGCTATTACGAAAGACAGAACCAAACTGCACAGTAATGTTGATTATACTATGAAGGAACTCGAAAATAAGTAAAATCGTGAATCGAATCCGCGGCTGCGTAGTAGTCAACGTAGGCAAACGTCTTTGCCGATTACTGACGGTTTCCGTGTGGGGCATGCAATGTACGTAGGCTAAGCAAACGATATGGGGCTGCTGTTGTCGAAAATTAATTGTTGGTCACTAAAGCTTTCCATGTGTTGGGTGCAATGGAGTGTCACTAAACAAGTAATCGAAGTGGCTAACGCATCATGAACAGGTTTTGTATTTCTTGTAGTCGAAAACTGATCGCTGTTCACCAGAGATTCCCGTGTGGGCGGCGCAGTGGATTTAGGCCACGTAAACCGCTAAAACTGTAAAACAAAGTGAACCAACCGTCCGAAATTTGATGCAACGGGATAAGTCGAAGTATAGGAAAAAGCGGTTGCACTCAAACAAATAAGCATAATCACGCCTGCTTAAATGCATATATTAGGTACTGAAATACATTTACATAACGTTGGCGACCAAAACCACGATTACCCTAAAAGCTTACACAAATGGCTAACAAAGCAGATTTTTCTGCAGTTTTTAATTGCTGGCTTACAGAATGTTTGTCCAGGAAATATTTTGAAGGATTTCATCGATTTTTAAACATAAATGATTTCTCCTTTTCTCACCACCAGTATTTCTAGCCGTGCCACGAAGTCAAATGTTCAGCACGTAAGGCGTTGGTGTCAACTTGAGAAATACTCGACTGAAGGAACTAGCTCGGTTGGCATGGAAAGCCAGATGAAATTTTGCACGAAACCCCGTTCAGTCATTGCCGAGAAAATGTCAGTTCGACCCTCATTAAATAACATGTCGGTAGGGCCCCCACAATATAATGGGCCCAGGGGGAGGTGACTTAGACATTAAGTAGCTTATAATAATAGTAGCGCTCGACTCTACCACCGATCCGCATTTGTGTTGTGCTTGGAGGTCAAACATAAGAATTGTAAACTATCTCACCAAATTAAATATCAAAATAATCAAAATAGTGTGTGTAGATGGCTACTATCAGTCTTTTTATGTTGGGTCTCGATCAGACAGAGGAGACAAGGAAGCCACAAATGCATGCATATTAGACTAGACATTATTTGTTGGTATAAAAGTCTGAACTTTGGTATTATCGGACCTTGCAGGACGTTGTGAGGATTCCATTAAGGTACAAAATTAAGAAGTACATAAGTAAGTTTTTGGCCGAATATCCATCTGGATTGATTCAGACAAACTATTAAAATGAGCACCACTCCCGCTATTCATTATAAACTTACCACCAACTCTCCAAAGTTGTCCGGAGCAACAAGAACGCCCTCAGGCGAGGTGTGAAAGACAACGGCTGCACAGAGGCCGGCAATTCGGGGAACGAGAGCGAGGAACCGGTCGAAAATATTCTTTCGATCAAGTGGTAGTGAGGCCGTTCCTGGATTCTCGAAAAGCCACCTGAAAGTATATGAGAGACTTAGAAACGTTGAAAGGGCATATACTTGATGGAT